ATGTTTAAATCTCATCTGTGCATTGCTATTTGAAAAGCTAATCAGCTGCTAAGGGCAACCAGATATGCTTTTATAGGACATTTTATGTGCATAAGATCCTAAGAACCTTAAAGTGGCATTGAACGCAAAAGCAAACATTTGTTATATTGGACCTTACCAATTCTTAGATGTGATGGCTGCATTTGTTTTCTTTTTTTACACTTTCTTTCCTTGTGATCTGGTAAGTCTGATGTTTTTCTAAAAGAGAGCAAACTCTCTTGCAGATTGTAGCAGTTACAAGGATGAGACAAACTATTTACCACTGGCAGGGATGCTTACAATGGCCATCTTTTATTTCTGTAGTATCTTTATTCCAAAAGAAAAAGTTTTCTGTAACTGCTTATAAAGTATTAGCTGGAGTTTGGCTTCAGTTTGTTAGTGTATCTAAATCTGATTCTAAATCCGATTCTACAGTACATCTAACACTCCCCACCCCCCAGACTGACAATGCTGCTGTCCCAGGGTGCTTCTTTGTCCAGTGTAGAAGCACTCTAATACAGGAAATGTGTTACTGACCAGATCACCAGGTGAAAACAGAGGGGGGAAAAAAGAGAATGAATGCAGCCACCACATCTACAAATTGGTAAGCTGCAATGTATTACATTTTGTTTTTGGGTTTAATACTGCTTTAAAAAAAAATCTGTTCATACGACATTTGTAAGCTCTTGGTTTACAACAAAGCTGTGCATCTGTTTGTAGCTCCAGCCAAACACAGAAGAGGATCATGTTTGCAAATCTTTCCTGTTTAAAAGAAGAGTAGTGATGTTTACTGCATACTATCTGCACCCATTTCCTCTTACAAACAGATGCCCTCTTACTCTTCTGTACAAATGTAAACTATCCTTAGTGGTAAATCCTCTATGCAGGTGTTAATATAGAAAAACAGTTAAACATAATGAATCAAACTTTCCTTATATCTTTTTAGGTATTTAAAACAAACAACGATAAATGTGACATTATTTGTCAATTGTGTGTAGGATTTTATGAGCGGATAAAAGGTTCAACATACAGTATATGTGGGATCAATATAATTCTAGTAGATGAGATACTATCAGGACTTTTTTCAGCAGGAACATGGGGGAACGCAGTTCGGGCACCTCCAGCACCTCTAGCACTGAATGTATATAATGTCAAGGGGTGCTAGGGTGTGCTGGAGGGTCTATTGATGCTGGCTGCTGAGGGATCTATTTTAACTGGAGGGGATCTTTTTTTGTGTGGGGGTCTATTGTTGTGGGGGAAGTTTAGTATTTCCCACCCCCCTCTCTCCACCCATCCCCTCATCTTTCCATACCCCTCCTCCCACCGTCCCAATCCTCCTCTATTTTCTCTTTTTATTAACTGGCTGCCATTTCTCTTTTCTCAGCCTTACACTTTTGTTCGGCCCCTCTGACCATCCCTCAATGTCCACATTCTGCAATTCCAGTTTTTCACAAAAGTCCCTGAGTTCTTCCAGAAATCTTAGCCTTGCCAACTTCCCAACCTTCCATCCAATGAGACATGCCAGGAACCTCCAGTTATATTGAATTCTTTTCTTCTTCATCTGGTCCAGTAAGGGTTTCAACGATCTTCTTGCTAACGTCTTAAATACAATGTCCACAAAGACCTGCGGGTTCGCTTCTTAAAATTGTATTTCAGGGTTCTTCCGCAGTTTTTTTCCATATTATCTCTCTGTCCTCATAATGATGAAAGCGGATGATCACATCTCTAGGGATGTCTGATGTTCTTCTTGGTGGGCGCCTTAACCTGTGCACTCTCTCAATCGTCAAAGGGTCTAAGACTGATCTGCACATTATTGGGTTAAACACTGTCCTTATTTTTTCCCTTGGGTCCTCCTCATGCGCATCTTCTGGTAATCCTCGGATCCTTAGATTATTTCTTCTCTCTATATTTTCTTGATCCTCCAGCTTAAAAGAGAGCTTCCTCTGTTCCCTTCTCATCTCCTCTAACTGTTTCTCCAAGTTAATAATCCACTGGGCTTGTATCTCCGTTTTCTCCTCTACTCCTTCTACCCTTGTGAGCAATAGTCCCAGATCCTTATGAAATATCGCCATTTCATTTGTCATGGAGAATCCTAATTTTGCAAACGTTTCTGCCATTTCTGGTCTTGTAGGTATTTGTGATTTTGTTCTTTATTGTTCCAAAACTTTTTGATCGTTTACTATCAACAATTATAGATTAATTGATCTCATTTCCTTCCCTTGCTCCAGATGACAATCTAGACTGCTCACCATCATATTTTCTACTTCCTTCCTGTTGTTTCTCTATACTTTGTAGCTCTTGGCTTTTTTCTTGTAATGGCATATATTTCTTTATTGTACTAGTATTTGCGTTTTGTTGCAGGGTTTTTACTACCCCCCCCCCCCCCTTTGACAGGTCTGTTCTTCATATTAACTGTTTGCAGATTATTTATTACAGGTACTTATATAGCACCATCAATTTTTTGTGAGAGGAAACCCATGCAGACAAAGGGAGGACATGCAAACTGCATGCAGTGAATGCGGAGTCAAGCCAATGACCCTAGTGCAGATAGGTGGAAGTGCTAACCACTTTGCCACTTTGCCATTACTAAAATTTTCTAAAGGTTTTTTGTTGTAATTTTTATCATAAGGGTATAGCTCCCCTTTAAGTACATTTTATTGAGGAATTACAACACAGAATGCATTATACCACCTCAGGAATGACATACCAATAAAGAATAGGAGTAGAAAGGTACAGATGAATTTCACGGCATGAGCAAAATGTTAGTCTTGTGAATGGCACAGGCTTGGATTCTTTAATTAGATCATTTAAAAACTGAGTACTATGTATGCACTGGTAGATGAATTATATTCCTGAAATCATTTTTCAATTGCAGTAATAATTTACTTAGTCTTCTTAACATTGCCAAATATCTCCATCCCGGTTTCATACGGTACATTTAGCTCTGGAAGGAAATATGTCAGCCAGATGTTTGAACGTGGAACTTGGCTTTAAAATAGTATTTAATAATAGCACTGTCTCGTCTTCATATTGTGTACACTCACAGTAAATAATGTGGAAGGAAGCTAAAACACCATATTTATATTTTCAGTAATGAACCATAAAGGTAATACAGCTGTATATAACCTTTCAGTGGTCATTTTCTGAACATATTTCAACAGATTTAACTCAGACTACTCCCATAGATCTGCACGTCCTAAATCCAGTATTTTAGACACTAGAGACTCTGTCAGGGCATTGCATGTGTGGGAACAGTTATTGTAGCTGTGAAGCTAAATAATGTCACGCTTATCGCTGTTGGTAAGCTGTGTCATGTTCAGCAATATCTAATTGCTTTCAGTTGTGGGTGCTACCCAATGACTTATCACAACCTATTATTAGAGAAAATGTAAAAGAACCCCTGTACTGCTCAGGTCTCCCTAAATCCCAATACTTAAAAAGCTGTCCCCAGCCTTGTTAAACCATCAATTCAAAATGTGACTAAATAAATAAATATTGTGAACCACCTTCTCTGATAAAAAATAAAGTTACTCAAAACCAAATATTAGCAAAAGATTTTATATAGCAATATCCTTATCTATGCAAATAAAACAACTGTGCACATAATTCAGCATAACTCCAAAATGATCTCCAAGTGATTTTCATATGAGCAATCATGCAAATATCGTACATCTATATAAAGTCCTGTTTCCAAGGAAAATTCCCCATGTGTAAAGTTCATATAAATGCTCAAATCCTTCCAATCTTCACCAACGTGCAAATTCAAAATTTCAAATGCCACTGACTGCTCAAACTTACTCCCCAGACACCATGTGTAATTGGGTGTACCCTCACCTCCTAGGGTTGATCTCTCAGGTTGCAAGAGGTCTTTTGGTGCTTTAAATCATCAAAGCAGCTCCAGTGCTCCTCCACATATATACCTGATCTTCTCCTCCACTTCTCTGCAATGTAAATGCTCATCAATGATATAAATACATAGCCCCAATAGTATACTATGTAAACATTTTTGGCAGCACACAACGGGTTAGAATCACTTTGCAGGAAACATGTATCGGCTTCTCCGCACAAGGTGTAACAGCGGCTCCTCACATCTCCCTCTCCTGTCACTCGTGGGATCTCAGGGAGTACTGCCAAGCATGGTGACATCACAGCCCTGCCTGCTGATGCGTTGTGTCCAATTCTTTTCGAAAAAGTCCTGATTGGAAACAAATCCAAACTCATTTTCTTTTCTCTACATTTTAAGATTCAGCCCCATTGTGGGAAGCCAGGTGTGTTGTAGAGTGTTGTGTTTGAACAGTGAAAACTGTTGAGATATTTAATTTGATAGTAAGAGAAAAACCACGTTAAAACAGACAAGGCCAGACTCGCATAGGCATGAACTTTTTCTGTTTTTCTATTTCTTTTCTATTCGTGTGTGTGGTTGTTTTTATTTTTGGGGGTTTTTAATGTTGGTTGAACTGGATGGACTAGTGTCTTTTTACAACCAGATTAACAATGTAACTTTAAGGACATTACAATAATCTTAAAAGATGCTGAAGTCACAAGAGTGTACCAAGCATAAGTGTATGCCTGAACATTTATCCCACAGGTGCCCATGGCAATTCTTGGAAGCACATTGAGAACTGTCACAATGTTTTAGGACCAGAGTGATCTGATTTATACATTTCAAGGGCAGAGCTGACAGCTTGTAGAGGGGAAAAGAGGACATATGAATATTCACATGAATATTCTAGTCATTGCCTCTTCTACACAATCAGTTTATTTTATACTATTCAATAAATAAATTCTATTAATGCACCAAACTAAGCCCATACTGTATATTTACCCATAAATAAATTACTACAACCCATTTTGCCACTTGCTCAATATGGATCAAAAATACACTATATTGCCAAAAGTATCGGGACACCCCTCCAAATCATTGGATTCGGGTGTTCCAATCCCCTCCATGGCCACAGGTGTATAAAATCAAGTACCTAGGCATGCAGACTGATTCTACAGACATTTGTGAAAGAATGGGTCACTCTCAGGAGCTCAGTGAATTCAAACATGGTACCTTGATAGGTAGCCACCTGTGCAATAAGTCCATCCGTGAAATTTCCTTGCTACTAAATATTCTACGGTTAACTGTTAGTGGTTCTATAACAAAGTGGAAGCAACTGGGAACAACAGCAACTCAGCCACGAAGTGGTAGGTCACAAAAAATGACAGAGCGGGGTCAGCACATGCTGAAGCGCACATTGCACATAAGTCACCAACTGTCTGCAGAGTCATTAGCTAAAGACCTCCAAACTTCATGTGGCCTTCAGATTAGCACAACAACAGTGCATAGAGAGTTTCATGGAATGGGTTTCCATGGCTGACCAGCTTCATCCAAGCCTTACATCACCAAGGGCAATGCAAAGCGTTGGATGCAGTGGTGTAAAGCACGCTGCCACTAGACTCTAGAGCAGTGGAGACGTGTTCTCTGGAGTGTCGAATTATGCTTCCCTGTCTGGCAATCCAATGGACGTGTCTGAGTTTGGCAGTTGCCAGGAGAACGGTACTTGACTGACTGCATTGTGCCAAGTGTAAAGTTTGGTGGAGGGGGATTATGGTTTGGGGTTGTTTTTCAGGTGTTGGGCTTGGCCCATTAGTTCCAATGAAGGGAACACTTAAGGCATCAGCATACCAAGACATTTTGGACAATTTCATGCTCTCAACTTTGTGGGAACAGTTTGGGGATGGCCCCTTCCTGTTCCAACATGACTGCGCACCAGTGCACAAAGCAAGGTCCATAAAGACATGGATGAGTGAGTTTGGGGTGGAGGAACTTGACTGGCCCAACAGAGTCCTGACCTCAACCCAACACCTTTGGGATGAATTTGAACGGATACTGCAAGCCAGGCCTTCTTGTACGACATCAGTGTCTGACCTCACAAATGCGCTTCTGGAAGAATGGTTTAACATTCTCATAGACACACTGCTAAACCATGTGGACAGCCTTTCCAGAAGAGCTGATGCTGTTATAGCTGCAAAGGGCAGGCCAACTCAATATTGAACCCTACAGACTAAGACTAGGATGCCATTAGTTCATGTGTGTGTAAAGGCAGGCGTCCCAATACTTTTGGAAATATAGTGTAGGTTAAGATTAGTTCTCCAGGTCTTGTTCAGTTACAAACTGTTAAATCACAAAACAATTTTGAATTTAAAAAAAAAGGGGGCTTTATATAAAAATATTTTTGTGCCTCACTGGCTTGTAAAATAGGCTTCACAGATGTGGCCTACTTGACAGTCTGAAAAAATCACTACTATGTATTCCTATAAAGAATTGCAAATGAGTCCCGAAAGAAAGAATGTGATGCTATTAGTCTACTGGATTAATTCAGTTACCAATAGACCAATATCAGATTAATATAATCCAATCTACTGCTTGCTTGAGAAAGACCAGAAGCCATGACATCACCTGCTAGACATATTATGGATGAGATGGACTACAGCGGGCAAATGAGTGAGTGGTGCTGTGCATTACTACACTTTTCACCTTGCTTTTTTCTATATTAACTTAGCTCTTACATGACTTTCCTAAGACACACAAGCTTACTTAGTCTTTCCGCAATGTTTTTTTCTGTTTGCAAAGCCTGTACAAAGCTGTGTTCCATATGCAGACATGGAGTAAAAAAAAAGAAAGAAGATGCTGAACTATTTTGAAAATTTGTTTTCAGATGTATATGTGTAAAATCATGTCTCAAAAGAGGAAAGATTTGCCATTTGGAATAAAATACAAATATATAGGCCAAGCAGGCTATGTGCTAGGGGGATTCAGATTTGTAGTAGAGCAATAAGAGGCCAAATACTTTGATTTCCTTTTTGGCTTTCTGACTTTTTTAAATTCCATTACAACATTGCTGTACATAGAGGACTTTAGATCAACTTGGAACAATAATATGGAAGAATCTTACTACAGTACCAAAATTCTGTAGTTCAACAGAAGAGCTGATATACCTTTGGGCTTCTAAATATGTAGCACAAATCTTGAGTTTAGTTTGGATTTATGCATTTCATCAGATGTAAGCCAATTCCATAGTCAGCTCCAAAACCTCAAGCTGCAAACATTGATTTTCCCTAATAGCTACCATTTTGTTTTTCTAACATTGTTTACTTTGTAGTAGAATGGATACAAATCAATTTGCTTATAGTAACTGTAACATTATATCCACTTAGGCCAGACAAGCATTCCTTATAGTTATAGTAAAACGTATACTAGAGATAATAAATAATAAATTCAGCAATTCTAAACACCCCTCAAAGTGCACCTGTCTTTAGACATCTGAGTATGTTTTCATTGCATTTTGTTTTAAATCTCGAGCAATGAGTGTATTGGTCATTATGATTTATTCATATGCAAAACTTATCTTTAAAGAGCACTTGAAAGCTGTTCCCAAGAAAAGACAGGCAAAGTCACCAGCATTGCCTGCGGCCTTCATGCAGCTCATGTTTCTCCATCTACTTACTTACCATGCCTAGTTCTGCACTGTGTCTGGATGAAGTTGACCATCTTGATAGAAGAAAAATTGGGATTCCTCAGGCCAGAGCCTCCAGCAAGGAGAACAATGAGCAGCAAATCATCAAATTTCACTCCAAATCCCCTGAAACAGTCAGAGGCACAGTATATTAGATCTTGCAGATATACAGCTATGTGTCTAAGCACAGTCCCATACTGGGAAGTAAACTGTTGTTTTTCAGGAGCATTTCAAGACAAAAAGTACATTTTCAGGGTACTTCTGCCAAAAATAACATTTATAGATGTTATTCTAGATTCAAATCTTAACTTTTTAATTTCAGGTCTACCCAATTCACCCCCATTTTTTATATACATACCGTATTTTTCGCTGCATAAGATGCACCTGACCATAAGACGCGCCTAGGTTTTAGAGGAGAAAAACAAGAAGAAAAAAAATTCTGAACCAATGGACTGCAGACACAGTACAGGGGATGACCAGAGACTGCGGACACAGTACAGGGGATGACCAGAGACTGCGGACACAGTACAGGAGATGACCAGAGTCTGCGGACACAGTACAGGGGATGACTGTGAACATAGTACAGACTGCGGACGAAATGACATAGTACAGGGGAATGACCAGAGACTGCGGACACAGTACAGGGGATGACCAGAGACTGCGGACATAGTACAGGGAGATGACCAGAGACTGCGGACATAGTACAGGAGATGACCAGAGATTGAGGACATAGTACAGGGGATGACCAGAGACTGCGGACACAGTACAGGAGATGAACAGAGACTGCGGACATAGTACAGGGAATGACCAGAGACTGCGAACACAGTACAGGGGATGACCAGAGACTGCGGACAGAGTACAGGAGATGACCAGAGATTGCGACACAGTACAGGAGATGACCAGAGACTGCGGACACAGTACAGGAGATGACCAGAAACTGCAGACACAGTACAGGAGATTACCAGAGACTGTGGACCTTTGGGGGGAGGGAGGGGGAGCGGGTACCTGAATTTGACAGGTACCCGCTCCCACTTCTGCGGAGTTGTCATTCTTTTTCTTCCCACGGCGGCTTCTTTGACAGCCGGGTGCCCACTGCGCATGTGTGAGAAGCGCTGCACTTTGTGAATGGCCCGCAGCCTTCCGGGACCTGTCATGTGTCCCAGAAGACTCCGGACCATTCACAAAGCGCAGCGCTTCTCGCACATGCGCAGTGGGCACCCGGCTGTCAAAGAAGCCGCCGTGGGAAGAAGAAGGAACGACAACTCCGCAGAAGTGGGAGCGCATGTGCAGTGGGCACCCGGCTGTCACAGAAGCCGCCGCGGGAAGACTGCAGCACTGGAGTGAGGAACAGGTAAGGTCCTGCAGGAGATAAGAGCTGAGCGGCCCGATATTCCGACATGGTGGCGGCAGAAATACTGGACCAGCCGCTTTACATTCGCTCCATAAGACGCACTGACATTTCCCCCCCTTTTTTGGGGGGGGGGGGGAAGTGCGTCTTATGGACCAAAAAATACGGGTAGTTTTTTTTTTTATATGTTTTGACATCACATGATTCACACAATCCTCTTCCTCTTTGCCTTTTCTCAGTGATGTGGAGAGTCAGTGGCCTGAATGTGTCCATGGCACTGTGCCCTCTAAGAAAGGGAGTTGAATGACTCATAGGGGTTGATTTACTAAAGGCAAATAGACTGTTCACTTTGCGAAGTGCAGTTGCACTCTGCAAGAGCAGTTGCTCCAGAGCTTAGGAAATTAGATAAAGATTCACTTTGCAAAGAAACCTAATGATGTGCAAGGAAAATGAAAAAAAAAAAAACAGCATTTTTGCTTGGACATGATTGGATGATGGAAGTCAGCAGAGCTTCTGCTCATTTACTAAGCTCTGGAGCAACTGCACTTGCAGAATGCAACTGCACTTTGTAAAGTGTATAGTCTATTCTGTTTTAGTAAATCAATCCTAGGGTGTCCCCAGAAGAGGACTGGCATTAAAACCTCAAGTTGGTAAATGTTTGGGAGATAGCAGGAGAGGAGTAATGCGCTAAAAGCTTATTTTTTTAGTCTTTTTATAATTGCTAGGCACTAAAGAAAATAAAAACTGGAATTGGGCTTTAAGACTTGGCTGTTCAAGGATATGCCAGGGAAAACAGCCAAATAATATGGTGTATGCCTTATTTGTTACATTGTAGCCTCCAAAGAAGCATAGTCTTAGCAATGACAAGGAAAAGGTAAAGTGGACAGCACCACTAATATAAAAATCCTATAAACAATATATTAAAGTGCAATATATCAAATAAATACTGTGTTAAAATACAAAAAACAATCTTGTATAAATAGTATATCAAAAGTGCCACATATCCAGTAAGTAATCATTTAAAGTGCAATGTGCATAATATCCAAAAAAACCTCTAGTAATTAAAATGTGGTTTAGTCCCGTGGAATACAACTTCAGAACACAGAATTAAAAAAACTCTGTGCAAAAAAAACAATGGACTCATTCATTTTGATGGTGGCGCAGTTCTAAATATTTCTGAAATGGTCTCAGCAATGACTCCTGTTTGCGCTGAAATTATTCAGTGTAGCAGTTGAGGAGGCAGATACCAAATACAAATGGGAACTATGTTGGATCTCAGACTACTCCTTGAATACACATGCCATTGCAGGATTGCCTATTTCCAGCTAACACGTGCATGAGGCTTTTGACAAGGTAAAAATAATTCATCTTACTCCCTACAGCCACACACTGCTCCAGTTCTGTTGCCCAGAAATATTTCATGATATAATAATGTAAACCAACTCTGCCACATGGATGATTGCCTTAGCACCTCTCTATGAGAAGCCATTTTGCTCATGTTTGTATATGTGGAGAGGAATTAACATTTTGATTTGATAGTAATCCAGCTAATTCCAGTTAATTACTTGGTTGGTAGACCCCCCAAAGGACACCATTGTTTACTGAATACCAGGTTCTGCTGAAATGACAAGTGCTTTTGACATTATCATATGTGTTGTGCATGTGCCACTTGTAAGAGAATGAGAGAGCAGAAATGTCAAACGATTCACCTTTAGTTTTAAGCAGCTTGAAACACCACAGTACTACCACCCATGAGGATCCATAGCCTGTTTCAGAATGTGCACCCATAATTGGTAACTCTTTGTTCCTTTCTTGAACCACAAATTTACATATATTTAAATTTTCCTCAGTGTCTTCTATGTATCTTTTGGCCTACTGATGCCTTTTCTGTCTTCTGGCTTTCCTTTATAAATTATTTTAATGTGCCCTTTCTTCCATTCTCTCTGTACTCACTATATATGTCTGCTTCTGAAAAAACGTTTATGGTTGTATCATCTTTTTATCTTTTCCTTTCTCACAAAATGTGCTATAAATTGTCCTCCGCACATTCTCTACACATATTTGAAGCCCTTTTTTAGACATAAGGAGGGACTTACTAAACCTGGTGCAAATAGAATCTGGTGCAGCTGTGCATAATAATCAATTATCTTCTGGGTTTCATGGAAAATGCCTAATTGAACAAGATGAAGATAGAAGCTGATTGGTTACTATGCATAGTTGCACTAGATTTTGAGTGCACCAGGTTTAGTCAATCCCCAATGTTTTAGATCCATATGTTGCAGCTGGTTTGCTTATACAGGGTGACCGACAGGAGTCAGATGGTTTTGAAAAAAACAGTACTCCGAACTCGAAATGTATTTATTTTTACAAAAACAGAGGTCAAGACATGCCAGTTGAGTTACTTATTCAGTTATGAAAAATGATGTAATTTAGATGATGACCATCCTCTTGAATGTAACTTTCAATTCTTCACTTGAAATTGTCCATCACTCAACAGCTGTTGATCAATCATGAGCACTTCTTGTCAGATGGCATCCTTCAATTCATTCAAATTATGGGGTTTATGAGTGTACACACGGCTCTTTAGGTTCCCCATAGGAAGAAATCACATGATGACAAGTCAGGAGACCTTGGGGGCCATGGCACATCATTGAAACTTGAAATGAGGTGCCCAGGGACCATGGTTTGAAGAACTTCCATTGGTGCATTGGCAGTATGCGCTGTGGCACCATCCTGCCGAAATAGCTGCCTCATTGCTGTGATAGACTCACAACTTCAAACAAAGCTGTTGTAAGCAAAAAAAACGATGTAGTATACACTGCTTCATTGTGACTGCACTGGCACTCCAGTCCCCCTCTCATCACCACTTACCTTGTACTACCTGTTCTAAGAAAAAGTCCAACTCCTGTCGGTTACCCTGTACCTTTATGTAGTTTTATTTTCAAAGTTTTGGCCACTGTTTAAATTTATATTGAGTACATTGCAAAGAAACATTTAATTTTCTGCTCTTATTCTAGCTGCATTGGTATTTCTTGCTTGCTTCCTTATTAGTAATAGACCTAAATATTTAAAATCGTTATTTCTGAAATTTTAACGATTCTAAGCTATTTTCCGAATTTCCCATTATTACTTTATATGTGATGTTTAACGAAGAGATACCACAGACATTTTTAAATATTGTTTCTTATTCCATTATATGACAAATTTACACTTTCCAGTTAGCCCTTCTTATTTTATAAACTCTGAACTCCTTTTATTCTCTATCTTTAGTTTATCCCTTAGTTTGCTGGCTGTTTTACTATATATGATGTGTTTTCAATTCTATTTCGGGCTCATAAAATATTACTTTTTAATTACCATTTACTGTTTCTTCATATATTTGTTATTTTATTGGTTCTTTAAACTATTCCACACAGCATTCTAAAATTTTTTCTTCTTTCCCAAGTTAATTTCCATTTATACGTCGTCATTCTCAGTTGAAACTCTTCTTTTCTGCATTAAACTGTTTGAACGGATTAATAATTCTTTTCATTTGAATATGCTTTCCTGTTGTCTAGAGCTTTTCTTTTCTCTTCCCCTTGTCTATTTTACTTACTGTTTCTTGTTTCGGAGAATTCAATGATATTGCTGTTGTTTTTCTTGCTACTATTTTAAACTTGGCTTTATTCATTTCTTCTGTTGTCTTTTTATAGCAGTCAGCAAACCAGCTTTCCTTATTTTGTAAAGTGTTTAGAGAGTTAGTCAAAGCTGAATCACTTTCTTATTATAACTTTTGAGTTTGCTCTCCCCATTGAAGCCAGCTTACTAACACAGCATGAAGTGTTAGCAAGAAGAGCACATTCTGTCTATCACTTACTTTGTAAGGTAAAAGTAAGAAAAATCAGCAGTATGTGTGGAATCTCTAAAGTGTATGTAGTGCCTAAATGTTTGAGGATAGAGTGTGGAAGGGCTAGAACCCCTTTCAGATTTTTTATTGCTGTGTTCTCTCTGGGAAGATTAAAGACCATTATTGGTTCTAGTAACCATTTTTTTTTGGTACAGAAAAGGATGGGAAAGCCAAATGTGTGGTGTCTCAGAAACAAGAAATGAACAGAGCAGAAATGTTCCAAATGGTAAACTTGACAACTGTTTACTTTCACTTGTCTATGTGACAGAAAGTAAAGGGAGAAAGACAGCAAAAAAAAAAAAAAAAATACCTAACAGCAGTCCTAACCCTTTCCTACTCTATCTAAAACTAAAAAAGTTTTGCCTTTCTATAAACTTTATTGGTCAAGGAAGGAGCATTAGCCTAAAAACATAGGTACTACAATTTTACCTCCAGAGTACGCAAGATGTATCTTTTTTAGGTAGACTGAATAGCTTTGCATATGTAAAATTAAATACAGCAGAATCTCAGTGATCCAAAGATCTGAACATAACATAACAAAAGTCCTTTTAGAAAACACAGTAGAAAAGATACAGACCTTCCCCCAGGTTGTCTGCCTTTTATTCTCTACCCTTTGCTTGAATTCATGCCATTACTCATAGTTCAGTTGTTGATTTTTCAAGAAAGAAGTCAATTACCAGTCAAAACCCTGAGAGTTTGCTGATGGCAAGTCTTCTCATTTTATTATGTTAATCAAGGACATTCGTTGTACAGAAAATATAGGCTCTCAAAATGCACATAAAGTACAGACATGAATAATGTTTTTGTTA